TACTACCGTTCTTCCATTCCCTACAAACCAAAGGTAAGTAACCTGGCCCTTCTTCCCGATGGCCTTCTTCTAGTTTAGGGTTTAGGGCCTATCCTGTGACCCCAAATCCCGACAAACATGGGAGCCTCCGAAAATAGGGGACCCTAATACAGTACCCTAAATAGTAGGATCCTTATTATAAGGACATCAAAATAATTTACCCCTCATGTTTGGAAACTCCCAAACAGTAGGTCATGACCTCTGAGTTAGAGGGTAGGCCCAGAGAGCCCAATACCCCTGAATTAAGGAATATAGCTTACATCAAAAAATATGGAGCCCCCTTAATGGTTTAAGATATACGTCTTAATTGAGGGGTATTGGGCTCTCTGGGGAACCCACAAGATTATAGTATCCTTAAGGGAGGGGGCTCCAAGGGGGGTCCATAGCCTGCTGATCCCTAACTCTCCCTAGTACTCCCTAAGGTTCCCCTAAGGATTCCTCGTACCCTCCCCCTTGAACCACCCTCCCTTAAGGATCCACCCTAAACCCCTAAACCCTAAACCCTAAACCCCTAAACCCCATGGAGCCCAAACCCTGAGGATCCCTAAACCCCTATAACAAGACGATTTGTTTTTGGATTTCAAGGTTGGGTTTCGGCTTCGGGTTAAAGCTTCTGGCATTTTTTACTGAGAGGTTCATGGGTAATTATGAGGGTTTCTTTAAGGGTCCCGTTAAAGGGATCTATAGGGATTCTTTAAGGGTAATAGGGTTTAGGGTCTACTTGGAGGTTCATGGGTAGTTATAAGCGGGGTTATAAGTAGGGAACTATACTTATAACCCATATTCGGGGACTTATAACTCCACTTATAACTGCCCATGAACCTCCAAGTAGTTCACTCTTTGGCCGACAGCAGCACCGACAGCTTGAACGGGCGTAGGTGGGCCGACGCTTCCGTAGTGGAGCTTGCTTGCAGTCGGTGCCCGGTAGGATCATGCCGTGCCTAGACTCGAAGAGCGAGTTGTATACCCTAAGGCCTTAAGGTAGTTCCTTTTTGGGATTACCTTATAGGATTCTATATATGAGTCCCCAAAATGGAACTAGTTTGGGGCCTTAGGGTAGTAGTTTTTGGTTTGAAAATTTCGCGCTGTAAATTTCCTGAAACTCCCGACTCCCGAATGGTGTGCTCCGGAGAGGCTCCCACTCGGCGGGTGGCCGGGAGCTCAGCGAGTTTCTTGCGGTGGGAGAGCTGGCGGCGTTGTCTAAATTCGCCAATTACCTTAACCTACCAAACCCTACTTTTTTGTAGGTTCTTATCATGATTCCTAATATGGAGTTTATCGGGACCCTACAAATAAGTAGGGTTTGGTAGGTTAAGGTAGGTTTAGGGTTAATTTGGGGTGTTGAGATACCGGGCTGGTTCTGTCTTCCTTTCACAGTCGTCCACTCTACTCGCAGGTTCACGGTTCATGGGCAATTATAAGTGGGGTTATAACTAGGGTAACTGATTGTACTTATGACCTCTGGTAGTTATAACCCAGCTATACCCAGAAAGCCCAATACCCCTTCATTAAGGAGTATACCATGACATGAAGCTGCTAATGATTTAAGGTATATTCCTTAATTAAGGGGTTATTGGGCTCTCTGAACCCTAAACCCCTAAACCCTCAAACCAAATCCCTAAGCCCTAAACCCTTAAAGCTTGCCTACTATGAACCTCCAAGTAGGCAAGCCGAACCGTGATAGCTGGCATCCTTTGAGCTCGTCCAACCACAGCAATCCCCGAGACTAGGCCACCGAGCTGATCCCCGATTGTAGATAAGGGTTTAGGGGTTGGGGGTTAGGTTTAGGGTTTAGGGGTTAGGGATTAGGTTTAGGGATACTTATACAATGACATACCACAAACCTGAGCCCAATTGTACGGGCCCCAAACGAGGGAGTTGCAGGCTGAGCCCACACGAATGCATCCAATGCCGCTATTGCCTCAGCTGGCTCAAGGCGTTTGAGCATTACGTATGTGAAACTCATCTGGGAGTTTCCGAAAATAGGGGACCTTACTATAGCCCCCTAAATAGTAGGATCCTTACTATAAGGACCCCAAGATAAGGTACCCCTAATTTTCGGAAACCCCCATCTACATCTCCACGGATGCCGGCGGGGCGGCTCCTCGTCCTTGGCATCCTCACCTGGGCCAGGCTCACTGAAGGTCGGGGCTTCCTCATGCTAAGCCCACTTAGAGGCTCATGGGACTTAGTAAGTAAGGTTATAAGTAGGTTATAATTAGGATAACCCCACCTAGGGGACTTATAACCCCAATTATAACCTACTTACTAAGTCCCATGATCCTTTAAGCACTCTTCGCCCCTTAACCCCAAAAGAGACCGCAAAGCTTTAACCCCCTCGGGAAACCCTGAAGGCCGAAGGCAACAGCCTTTAAACGCGAAGCCCTTGACCCTGAACCCCCTAAGCCCCAACGGAGCCCTCCTCCCAGACAAGCCCCCTATCTCCAAGGTAGCATTCGGAAGACCCCTTGAAGTGGACCCTTCTTAACTCTACTGATGGCTCTTTTTTCGAGATCTTATTGACAGGGTCTATATCCTCAACTTGAGGATCGACAAGGGTCCCGCTCACCCTAAACCTTAAACCCTAAACCCAAAACCCCAAGGGCCCCCCCCTAGTCCTAACTCCTACTGTCAGGTGTGCGTTCCCTGGCCAGGCCGGACATCGTCCGGGGCCCCTTGGAACGCCTATATGTGCTTCCGTTGTTCTGGTGTTTCAGGGTTCAGGGGTAAAGGGTTTTCTGGAGCGTGGCTGAAGGGATTCAGGGCTTAGTGCATTGCAGTCCCCGCTCAAACAAAAAAAGTTTGGGGATTAGGGTCTTTTTGCCTGAAATTCCGGCTTAGGGTTTGGGGTGTAGGGTAATCATGATTATAGGGTTCAGTGATTGAAAAGTCGAAGCTGGGCTATGTTTCGGCTGAGTAGTATAGAGATGAAACGGGCGCAAGCCTCCCGAAAGCCCTAGAAACCCTCAGCCCTCTGAGCCCTAGAAGCCCGCAGCCCTCTGAGCCCTAGAAGCCCCCCCAGCTCTATGAGCCCTAGAAGCCCTATCGCCCTTAAATCCTCTACACCCTATAAACCCTAAAGGCCCTATAAGCCCTAAACCCTACAAACCCTCTACACTCTATAATCCCTATACGCCCTGCCCATAGGCCCCAAAGTAGTTCCTTTTTTGGGATTACCTTATAGGATTCTATATGTGAACCCCCAAAAGGAACTACCTTGGGGCCTTAGGGTAGTAGTTTTTTTAAAAAAATTTCGCTACACTCTATATAAACCCTATAAGCCCTAGGCGCCCCAACCGCGCCAGGTGAGGAGAAGTGCCAGCAGCAACTGGCAGCCCTCCAGAGTCTCATTGCAAGAGCTTGCCAGGAGGATCTTCGGGCCAACAGGGGTTCCTTTAAAGGGATCCTTCAAGGGTTCCTAGGGTTCCTTTAAAGGGATCCTTTAAGGGTTCCTTAATGGGATCCATAAGGGTTCTATAAAGGGTCTAGGGTGTAGGGTTCCTACAGTAGAAGCCCAAAAGTTGGAAACCCAATAGCCTCAATCCTTAAGAGTAATGTATAGGCAATCCCAGCACTATTTGGCTTTAATCCGGTTTCCAGCTTTTTGGGGTTTACTGTAAGGGCTCCGTTAAGGGATCCCTTAAAGCATCCTTTAGGGCTTCCATTAAAGGGTTCCTATAAGGGTTACTTTAAGGGCTCCTTGAAGCTTAAACCCTAAAGTAAAGGCTACCTTTCTGGTACTCGAATCCTCGCCTGCTTGTCTAGTTGTGAGTGCTGAAATAAAGGCTACCTCAAAGGATCCTTATAGGGCTCTATGAGGGTTCTAAAGGGGCTTCTACAGGGTTCTGCAAGGATACTAAGGGCTCTATGAGGGTTTCTGCGAGGAGGGTTTTGAAAGAAATTTCATAACCATGGTACTAAGGGTTCTCTGCAAGGTTGTAGAATAGCTGTATACGGGTTCTACAAGGATTTTGTACGGGTTCTTGTGATAAGGCTTACTATATGATCCTGGGTTCGGGTGGAAAGGCGTTGACTGGTCTTGGCGCCACCTGGGTCTTTAATTGCTGCGTGTTTAGGGCTTTAGGGCACCTTGAACCTTGCACCCTGAATAGAGCGTTTAAGACCCTAAGCCCGAAACGCCTTAAAACTAAAGTCAACAACCCCAAACCCCAAAAAATCCCTACCCTTAAACCCTAAACCCCAAACACCCAAAATCCCTACCCTTATTTAAACCCCAAGCCCCAAAAAGTCCCTAAGCCACTTGAGTGGTTGTCAAAATTAGGGTCCCTTTTTGAGTACCCTACCTTAAACTACCAAACCCTACTACTATTTTGTAGGTTCTTATTATAAACCCTAATATGGAGTTTATAGGGACCCTACAAAAAAGTAGGTTTTGGTAGGTTAAGGTAAATATTAGGTGCAGCATTATAATAAGGACCCAAAAAGGGACCCTAACAGTGCGAGAGAGGACTTAGAGCGCCATGCGACGGTCTCGGAGGGCGGCTGCGAGGCTGAGGTCGGAGAACACGTCCTGCTGAGGGTTCAAGGGCTTAGGGTTTTAGGTTTTTAGGGTTTAGGGTTTTAGGGTTTTAGGGTTTAAGGTTTTAGGGTTTCGGGTTTAGGGTTTAAGGTTTAGGGTTTTAGGGTTTACGGTTTTAAGGTTTAGGGTTTAAGGCTTAAGGGTCGTGGTTTATAGTAAACGCCAAAAAGGTTGGAAACCGGCTTGGGGACAATTAGTGCTGGGATTCCCCACACATGACTCTTAAGGCTTGAGGCTATTGGGTTTCCAACTTTGGGGCTTCTAGTGTAAGGGTCGTGTAGGGTTTACCTTAACCCTGAACAACCCACCATTTTCGGAATCCTTATTATGACTTCCTTATATAAGTCCTTAAAACGGTAGGTTATTCAGGGTTAAGGTAGGGCTGAGGGCTTAGTAAACTCCGACGAATAAGTGAAGCCTGATGCACGACCGCAGCACTCAGGATCTGCATAAGATTGCTTCTTCAGGGGAGGTTCATCATCCAGGATTCTCCATTGGCTATTTTGATTCTGGGCTTGGCTGTCAGGCCGAAGGCGTGGTGAGCCAGGGCGACTATGAGATCTGGAGCAAGAAGTTGGTGGTCTGCCGGAAGGAGTCCAGGGGCAATGGGATTTGGTGTTGGAGGATGTTGGAGCTGCTCGGACGTTCTTGCGGACTGTAGCAGTCTCCTCTCGTTGATCCCGCCGGCCCTCCACCTATTATACCACAAACCCATAAAGCCGAAACGGCCAGGAGAAGAGCCGGATCATTCTCTGGAGCGGCTTGGGAAGCGAAGTGGAACGCGAAGACGTCCTCTGGCCGTTGCGGAGCAATGGTCGTGGCTGCATCATCCACAGTCGGAGGGAACCTGACACAAAGCTTGGGGAGATCCTCAACGACCCGCAGGTGAACGTGCTGGAGGCTCGAAATCGACACATCCTGTTTTGCAAGATAATTGACGAAAACCGAAACCTGTGCCGAAACCTGATTCTGCCGTTATCGTTTCAGAACGCTCAAGGCTTGCCCCTGGAGCGCAGTGAAGCCTTTCTGGGACGGTGCTTCTCGAGCCTTTGCGGGCAGCTGGGCAGCTCGCGGTGGCGCGGAGAACTACAGCATCGTCCTGGGCCACGACGCTGTCGGAAGGATCTTCGATACCATTTTGTACAAGGCAGAATTGAAAGCCCTTGCCGAGTCGGCTCAGGAAGGGCTGCGGGTGGACGTGCTCTTCACCGCAGCCATGAGCCTCGAGGAGCAAGCCGTGCTGAGCAGCATCTTGTACCATCGCACTCGGCTGCTCTCCCCGATGAGAGAGGAGGAGTTCGACGCCACAACCTGGCAGTACGGGGGCTGCCCAAAGGACGAACTGGCCTCCTGCGTCCCGGAGCATCTGCTCGAGCCCAGCAGTACCCAGCTCCAGCGCCTGATAGACAAAGCAAAAGAGGCAGAAGCCCACTATGGCGGCGTGGCACGCAAAGCTGAGCGCCCAACAGCAAGTTACCGGCCTCAAGCCTTTCTGCAAGCTTTTCTTGGTTGGAAGCCGCGGGACGTCTTGTCGTTAGGTAGCCCAGAGTGGTTGTCTGTCTCACACCTTCTAACTTGGGCTGCTCGTCCTTCTGTCAAGGTGTGGCCGACGGCCGGTGCCAACAGCAGCTGGATGCATTGACGGCTTTGATAACAGAGACGTGCCAGGAGGATCCTTGGCTGTAGAAGGGCAGTTGCAGTTTTTTTGGGGAGTTAAGGGAATGCGTGAAGCTGCTGTGGTCCTCGTGAGGACGCACAGAGAGGGTCGCCGGTGTCGGTGGGTGGCTGCCAGGCGGAGGCAGGAGATGAGAAATCTTCCCTGCACCCGACCAAATTGAAACCGAAGATCCTATCCTCCTGAAAGCCTTCAGCAAGAAAGCCCCAGAACTCCAGAAATCTGCACCCGAGCGAGGCTGAAGGCGTCGTGAACCTCGGAGATTTCGAGGTCTGGTCAAAGAGCCTAGTGGCTTGCGGCGAGGACGGGGCCTCGCGTTTTGGGGGATTATAAGGCATACAACAGGGTTCAAGGGTTTACAGGTGAAGGGTCTTGGATTGAGGTCTTTCGGTACGCCATGAGGCAAGTGCGTGGCTTCGGGGGGCAGAGGCATGCAAGTGCTGTCAGGGTTTTACCTGCAGATCATTACATATTAATCAACATGTTGAGAGAAAAATATCAATATGTTCCCCCGATGGATTTACATATCGATGGCTCATATCGAAGCCAGGATAAGTTGGACTTGCTCCTGTGGAGCGGCTTCAAGGAAGAGGAGCGCGAGGAAGTTCTGCGGCCGCTGAGAAGACGGGGTGGCTGCGCGCTACAGACAAAAGCGCCAGAAGACACCACCCTTGCGAAGCTCCTCAACGATGAGAGGGTGAAAGTCTTGCAGGATTGTCCCTGGAAGGTGACGAAGCCGTTCTGGGATGGCGCTTCCCGCAACTTTGTCGGCATGTGGGCGTCTCGAGGTAGGGACTATTCCAGGTGGGTCGAAGTCATCGTCGCCATGGGCTACCACAGTGACCCAGCGCGCTCGCACAAGACCATGTTCAACACAGTGTTTTTCAGATCGGAGTTGAAGGCATTGGCACAGGCGAGCCTCGGAGCATTGGCAGTAAGGCTTGTCTTCACCAACCCTGGAATGAATGATTGGAAGATGACTTCTGCGACTGCAGTGGCTTTCGAGCGGGCACGGCTTCTCTCTCCTCTCGGAAAAGCTTCCTTTAAGCGCAAAACGGAGTGGCAGATTTCTGATTGCAGCGGCAAAAAGAGAGATCTTGGCTCCTGTGCAGAGAGAGGGCATGTCTGGCTTCTCGAACCAGATTCTGGCCGGGCCACTATTAGCCTGGCCCTCATGTACCGGAAAGGCTGGGGCGTGCGGCAGGACGACGGCAAAGCCGTCGAGCTCCTCCAGAAGTCCGCAGAGCTCCTCCAGAAGTCCGCGGAGCTTGGCAACTCCGTTGCCATGTTCGACTTGGGCAGCATGTACGACGCCGGCGATGGCGTCCAGAAGAATCACAGCAAAGCGGTGGAACTCTACGAGCAGGCGGCCCGCCGTGGTGACGCCGCATCTATGTTCAATCTCGGCCTAATAGATGGGGGCAAACAGAATTACAACAAGGCGGTTGAGTGGTTCCAAGAGGCAGCGAACCGTGGTTTGGTGGAAGCCATGTTCAAGTTGGGCTACATGTACTATCGCGGCATTGGCGTCCAGAAGAATCAGAGCAAGGCGCTCGCGCTGTTGCAAAACGCTGCGGACCTTGGTAATGCCGATGCCATGTTCATCCTGGGCAGGATGTATAACTTTGGGGAGGGCGTGGAGCAGAACGGCAGCAAGGCGGCGCAGCTGTACAGCAAGGCTGCGGACCTTGGCACTGACGATGCCTCTGGAAACCTTGGAGTTATTATGTATTCCTTCGCAAACCTTGCAAAAATGTATTACAATGGTGCAGGCGTCGAGCAGAACTACAGCAAAGCGGCACAGCTCTACGGCAAGGCTGCGGACCTTGGCAACGCCGAAGCCATGTTCAACCTTGGACGTATGTATTACTTGGGTAAAGGCGTCGAGCAGAACTACACCAAGGCGGCGGAGTGGTTCCAGGACGCGGCGGAACTTGGTTGGGTGGGAGCCATGAACTGGCTGGGCAACATGTACGAACACGGCCTTGGTGTGCAGAAGAATCACAACAAAGTGACACAGCTCTATAGCAAGGCTGCGGACCTGGGTGACACAGATGCCACGTTCAACCTGGGGATGAAGTATAACTTTGGAGAGGGCGTCGAGCAGAACGGCAGCAAGGCGGCACAGCTGTACAGAAAGGCTGCGGACCTGGGCGATGCCGATGCCATGCTCTACCTTGGAAACATGTATCACTCTGGCGAAGGCGTCGAACATAACGACAGCAAAGCAGCACAGCTCTACAGCAAGGCCGCGGACCTTGGTAATGCCGATGCCTTTGTAAACCTTGGAGTTATGTATTACGATGGTGCGGGCGTCGAACAGAACTACAGCAAAGCGGCACAGCTCTACGGCAAGGCAGCGGATCTTGGCAATGCCGATGCCATGCGCAACCTTGGAAACATGTATCACTTTGGCGAAGGCGTCGAACATAACGACAGCAAAGCAGCACAGCTCTACAGCAAGGCCGCGGACCTTGGTAATGCTGATGCCTTTGCAAACCTTGCAGTTTTGCATTACGTTGGTGCAGGCGTCGAGCAGAACTACAGCAAAGCGGCACAGCTCTACGGCAAGGCTGCGGACCTGGGCGATGCCGATTCCATGTTCAACCTTGGACGTATGTATTACTTTGGTCTAGGCGTCCAGCAGAACTACACCAAGGCGGCTGAGTGGTTGCAGGAGGCAGCGGACCTTGGAAATGCAGAGGCGATGTTCATGCTGGGCAGCATGTGCTATGATGGCCGCGGTTTCCAGGTGAACCACACCAAAGCAGCCGAGTTTTGCCAGAGGGCGGCGGACATTGGCCATGTGCAGGCCATGCTCACTTTGGGAAGGATGTATCACGAAGGTGATGGGTTGCAGGCAGACTATGCCAAATCTGCGGAGCTCTTCCACAAGGCGGAAGCCCTGCAAAACCTCCAGTCTCAATCGCAGGCTGCACGGAGAGGGGTGGCATGACAAAGAAGGCTGCTTCCGCCGCAAGTGGACGCTCGTTTTGGTTGTTCACAGGTCAATTGGACAACACTGCTTTCCTGTTCAAATTTCGATGCTCTGACAGGAACCAGAGGGACGACTTTGAACCACACACTTAGCTTTAGTTCTAGATAGGTCTCTGAGTGCTAAGATGAACTTCCAAGGTCTGCACTAGGTCCTGAGCCTCTGTTGTTTCTCTTCGCGCGCCCTTGAAAGTGTACTCCTCAGTTTCGACATCCCGAACCCGAACTAGTTCCTGAACTCCTGCGTGTGCTTTCTGGCTCTGGACAACGCCCAGTTTCAAAACGCTTCTTTTATGTGGCACGCCTCTTCACAGGGCTTCGCTGTGGTTGCTGCCTCATCCAGAGCCGTTCATGGGGTCGGAGGGGTGTACTTGGAGGCCCTTTTGACTTAGTAAGTCTACTTAGTATCCCCTAGAAACCCTATTATAATCCACATAACCCAGCTTACTAATCCTAGTTAAGTCAAAAGGGATTCAAAAGGGCCTCCAAGTACAGGTTCCTTCGGAGATGAAGCCTGGGGTTCGCTTGGGTTTTACAGGCGGTTCTGTCTTCTCTCTGCCTAGTCTACTTAGAGGTTCATGGGTACTTTTAAGTGGGGTTATAAGCCCCCTAACCTGGATTATAAGTATAGTTACCTTACTTATAACCCCACTTATAACTACCCATGAACCTCCAAGTAGTTGCCGACGGTGATAGCCGGGATCCTTTGCGCTCGTCTTTGAACAACCCATCGATCGAGACTGCTGGCTCAAGACGTTTGAGCACGACGTATGTGAAACCCATCTCCATTTCCGCAATTTCTGCGGATGCGTGCGGGGTGGCTTGTGATCCTTGGTGTCCTGACCTGGGCCAGGCTCACTGAAGGTCGGGAGTTCCCCATGCTAATCCCCAAACCCCCAAAAGGCAAGACCCTCCACCCTGACAGCGACGCCCTAAGCCTCTTGAATCTTGAAAAAGCTTCAAGCCCCAAACGAGTCCGAATCCCTAAACCGTGCCTGCCTCGTGCGAGTCAGTGAGTCGAAAACCATCCTAAACCCCTCGTCCCCCCAAATCTCGAAAGCAAAAGCCTCCAAACCCTAAACCCCTACCTTAAACTACCAAACCCTACTATTTTGTAGGTTCTTATTATCAACCCTAATATGGAGTTTATCTTACTTAGCCTATTGGAGAACTTTAAACTTTTTGGCTTTACATATTTGGTCTAGCTTAAAAAGTTTGAACTTTGTTTGGGCCTGGTTATTGGAGAAGAGAGTTATAGGGACCCTACAAAAAAGTAGGTTTTGGTAGGTTAAGGTAATCCTCAACACCTAAGCCTCAACGGAGCCCTCCTTCCTGGTGTTGTCAGGCGTGCGTTCTCTGGCGAGACTGGACATCCACCACGGCCTCTCGACCGCTTTGTGCTTTCGTTTTGGGCTTGGGGTTTAGGGTAGGGTAGGGTTTTTAGGGTTCAGGGCTCTCAGAACTTAGGGCTACCTTTCATCTGATTTGTTTAGAGACGAGCACGGCGCACACGAACCCTGAATTCGGCATGAAAGGCCTAATGGCCCTAAACGGTACAGGCCCTATATACGCCCCAAGCGCTCGAAGCGCAAGGTGAGGGGAAGTGCCAGCAGCAGCTGGACTCCCTGAAGCGGCTCATCGCAAGGGCATGCGAGGAGGTCGGTTCCCAGAGGGTGGTTTTTATGTAGGAACCTGATTAATTTACTAGGGTTCCTTGAATGAGTCCGATTATTTGAGAGTTATAGGGTCAGGGTTTCTTCATCAGGTTCCTACATGATAATATTGTCAGGTACCTAGAAGGCTTCGAAATGGTTCCCCATAAGGCATCGCAAAACTTCTTAATAAGGGTCCTACATGTTCTTATCAGGTTCCTACAATAAGGCTTTTGGAAAGGCTCCCCATGGGCTGAAGAGGCTTCTGTAAGGGACATGGTCCTCTAAGGGCTCCAGAGCGGTTTTGGGCTCGATAAGGGTACTCATTACAAGATTTACAAGGCTGTATAGGGACATCCATATTCTATTGCGCTTTATTATGAGGGGGCTTATACGGGATATCCCTATCCCTAGTTTTGCTTATGTGCCTTTTTGGGTCCCTGTTATTACAAGGCTAGGTGAAGGATCCTGGGTTCGCGCGGCCAACCTTTGACTGGTCTCTGGTACCCCTGGATCCTCGGTTACTCCATTGGTTATAGGGTTTAGGGAATCTTGAGCCTGAGACCATACATCTAGGGTGTATACGGAACTGGGCGCATTGGGCAGAGAGGACCTAGCTCAACGCCCGTTGTCGGCAAACCCCTAAACCCGAAACCCCAAACTCACAGGTTTAAGGGCCCTGAACCTAAAAATCCTAAACCCTAAACCCTAAACCTAAAAATCCTAAACCCCTTGTCGCCGACAGAGAGGACTTCCAGCGCCATGCGACGGTCTCGGAGGGCGGCTGCGATGCTGAGGCCGGAAAACACTTCCGTTGAAAACGGCTTAGGGTTCAGGGCAGTTTTACCTTAACCCTGAATAACCTACCGTTTTAAGGACTTATATAAGGAAATCATAATAAGGATTCTTGAAAAGGTGGTATATTCAGGGTTAGGGTAGGGTTTAGGGTTTAGGGTTTAGGTTTTTCGGTGTTGATCAGTTTTTGCAATCTGGGGTAGCCGTGTGGCACGAGCCCACAGCACAGTCGGCGCCTCACTTCCTGGCATATGCGTAGTCCAGGTGTAAAAGGTTTTTCGGTGTAGGGTTCAGGCCGGGTCTACACGTTCTGTCGGGCGACGACCCCGCTGCAAAAAGGGTTTAGGGCTTAGCGGGCAATCGCAACAGCGCGATCCTAATAAGTTTGCTTCTTCGGGGAGGTTCGTTATCGAGCTGTTTTGATTCTGGGCTGGGTTGTCAGGCCGAGGGCGTGGTGAGCCAGGGCGACTATGAGATCTGGAGCAAGAGGTTGGTGGTCTGCCGGAAGGAGTCCAGGGGCACTGGGTGTGGGGTTGGGGGATGTTGGAGCTGCTCGGACGTTCTCGTGGTCTGCGGCAGTCGCCGCTTGCTGATTCCCCCCGAACCTCCACCTACCACACAGCCGCAAAACCAGAACGGCCAGGAGAAGAGGCGGATCATTCTCTGGAGCGGCTTGGGCAGCGAAGTGGAGCGCGAAGACGTCCTGTGGCCGCTGCGGAGCAATGGTCGCGGCTGCATCATCCACAGTCGGAGGGAGCCTGACACAAAGCTTGGGGAGATCCTCAACGACCCCCAGGTGAACGTGCTGGAGGCTCGAAGTCGACACATCCTGTTTCGCAAGAAAATTATCCAAAAACTGAGACCAAACCTGTGCCGAAACCTGATTCTGCCGTTATCGTTTCAGAACGCTCAAGGCTTGCCCCTGGAGCGCAGTGAAGCCTTTCTGGGACGGTGCTTCTCGAGCCTTTGCAAGCAGCTGGGCAGCTCGCGGTGGCGCGGAGAACTACAGCATCGTCCTGGGCCACGACACTATCGGAAGGATCTTCGATACTATTCTGTACAAGGCAGAACTGAAAGCCCTTGCCGAGTCGGCTCAGGAAGGGCTGCGGGTGGACGTGCTCTTCACCGCAGCCATGAGCCTCGACGAGCAAGCCGTGCTGAGCAGCATCTTGTACCATCGCACTCGGCTGCTCTCCCCGATGAGAGAGGAGGAGTTCGACGCCACAACCTGGCAGTACGGAGGCTGCCCAAAGGACGAACTGGCCTCCTGCGTCCCGAAGCATCTGCTCGAGCCCAGCAGTACCCGGCTCCAGCGCCTGATAGACAAAGCAGAAGAAGCAGAAGCCCAGTATGGCGGCGTGGCACGCAAAGCTGAGCGCCCAACAGCAAGTTACCGGCCTCAAGCCTTTCTGCAAGCTTTTCTTGGTTGGAAGCCGCGGGACGTCTTGTGGTTAAAATGGGGGCCTTAATAAATAGAACAGGTTTTTTGGGGTCCATATACCACAAATACAATAAGGAACCCGCCCGAGATAGTATGGGTAATGCTTTAGCCTCTAAATTGGTGGCCCAGAGTGGTTGTGGGTCACACACCTTCTAACTCGGGCTGCTCGTCATTGCCGTCCTTCTGTGAAGGCGTGGCCGACGGCCGGTGTCAACAGCAGCTGGATGCATTGACGGCTTTGATGACAGAGACGTGCCAGGAGGATCCTTGGCTGTAGAAGGGCAGTTGCAGTCTTTTTGGGGAGTTAAGGGAATGCGTGAAGCTGCTGTGGTCCTCGTGAGGACGCAAAGAGAGGTTCGCCGGTGTCGGTGGGTGGCTGCCAGGCGGAGGCAGGAGATGAGAAATCTTCCCCGCACCCGACCAAATTGAAACCGAGGACCCTATACTCCCCAAAGCCCTCAGCAAGAAAGGCCCAGAACAACAGAAATCTGCACTTCAGCGAGGCTGAAGGCGTCGTGAACTTTGGGGATTTCGAGGTCTGGTCAAAGAGCCTGGTGGCTTGTGGCAAGGACGGGGCCTGGGATTTCCTGGGGTTTTGGGGACTAAGGCTTACAATGGGGTTCAAGGGTTTAGGGTTGAAGCGTTTGGGATTGAGGGCTTCGGTGCGCCAGGTGGCAAGTCTCAGCCATGTCTGGCGCTTGTAGTAGAGTCCAAGATCGAGTTACATGAGGTTAATGGCATGTGGGGCTGTGTAATAACCCCGCGCCTCTTCGTTCTGTGTTCGCTGGGCGCCTGTTGGAAGGATAGTGTTTTGGCTGGAAAAACGATAAGAAGAAGAAAAAACGATAACGTCAGTTTATGATGCCAGTAGTCTTGTACATTATTTGCTGCTGATGGCTTGTATGTTGTGCATTCGCCGCGCCTGCAGAGTTCCACAACTCAAATCAAGCAGCTTCATCACAACCCTCACGAATGCATTTCGCCAGGGATTCTAAATGCATTCGGGCCCGTGCACTCGGGGTTGGGAGGAGCATGGACCACGTTGGGCTTTTTCACGGCGATTTGAACACGCACTCACCGCTTCGTCACCAACCTCGCGCATGCATCTTCGCACGGATTCTAAACGCATTTGCTCCCTGCACTCGGGTTTGGGAGCGCGGGGTATCTTGGGCTTTTACACGGCGATTTGGGCACGCACGAACCGCTTCGTCACCAACATCACGAATGCATTTCGGCACGGATTCTACATGCATTCGGGCCCGCGCACTCGGGGTTGGGAGGAGCATGGGGCCAAATTGGATTTTTTCACGGCGGTTTGGGCACGCACAAACCGCTTCGTCACCAACCTCGCGAATGCATTTTGGGACGGATTCTAAACGCATTTGCTCCCTGCACTCGGGTTCCCTGCCCCTGAACCTTAAACCTTAACCCTAAACCCCAAACCCGAATCCCTACCCCTTAACCTTCAACCTTAAACCTTAACCCCAAACCCTCATCCCAAACCGCTTCGTCACCAACCTAACGAATGCATTTCGGAACGGATTCTAAATGCATTTGCGCCCACGCACTCGGGTGTGGGAGCATGCATGTCGGCTGTTTACACGGCGATTTGGGCAACCGCTTCGCCACCAACCTCGCGAATGCATCTTGGCACGGATTCTAAACGCATTTGCTCCCTGCACTCGGGTTTGGGAGTGTGGGGTATCTTGGGCTGTTACACGGCGATTTGGGAACCGCTTCGTCACCAACATCACGAATGCATTTCGGCACGGATTCTAAATGCATTCGGGCCCGCGCACTCGGGGTTGGGAGGAGCTTGGGGCCAAGTTGGACTTTTTCACGGCGATTTGAGCACGCGCAAACCGCTTCGTCACCAACCTCGCGAATGCATTTTGGCACGGATTCTAAACGCATTTGCTCCCTGCACTCGGGTTCCCTGCCCCTGAACCTCAAACCTTAAACCTTAACCCTAAACCCCAAACCCGAATCCCTAGCCCTTAACCGTAAACCATCTTAAACCTTAAACCTTAAACCTGAACCCCGAACCTGAATCCCTACCCCTTAACCTTAAACCTTAACCTTAAGCCCCAAACCCGAATCCTTACCCCTTGACCTTAAACCTTAAACCTTGACCCTAAACCCCAAACCCGAATCCCTACCCCTTAACCTTCAACCTTAAACCTTAACCCCAAACCCTCATCCCAAACCGCTTCGTCACCAACCTAACGAATGCATTTCGGAACGGATTCTAAATGCATTTGCGCCCACGCACTCGGGCATGGGAGCATGCATGTCGGCTGTTTCCACGGCGATTTGGGCAACCGCTTCGACACCAACCTCGCGAATGCATTTTGGCACGGATTCTAAACGCATTTGCTCCCTGCACTCGGGTTTGGGAGTGCGGGGTATCTTGGGCTTTTACACGGCGATTTGGGCACGCACGAACCGCTTCGTCACCAACATCACGAATGCATTTCGGCACGGATTTTAAATGCATTCGGGACCGCGCACTCGGGGTTGGGAGGAGCATGGGGCCAAGTTGGACTTTTTCACGGCGATTTGAGCACGCACAATCCGCTTCGTCACCAACCTCGCGAATGCATTTTGGCACGGATTCAAAACGCACAGCTCCAGCGCGGAGTGAAAAGGTCTCCATCGGAATCCTACCAGACTAAGCTTGCAGCTTCATATCCCGTATATTTAAACCTACTTCACGCCAAAGAAGCACAACCACTGCCTTCGATATACGAATGTTTCCATGTCCCGTATACTACAGTTGTACTACACTTCAGTAAGAGGTTCTTTCATGGGAAAACGATAAGAAGAAAAAAACGATAACGCCATTTAGCGTATAGGAACTGAACACGGGGTTTTCACACCACCCCATGTGTAGTACGGCAAAATAGTGGCAGTCGTTTCCCAGATGGCCTTCTCCAACTGGCGGTGTAACATCCGTCCAGTGTTTCATGAACTGATGCGGAGAACTTGAGGGGAGGATGCAGGTGGCACGATGTGATTGGGTGCTTTCCGGATGCAGAGACATGCGATAGAGCAGCTAAAAAGGACAGATCAGATAGGTCGACAGGTTTGCATATCGACAGCCAGGACAAGCAGTGGTTGCTCCTGTGGAGCGGCTTCAAGGAAGAGGAGCGCGAGGAAGTTCTGCGGCCGCTAAGAAGGCAGGGTGGCTGCGTGCTTCAGACAAAGGCGCCAGAAGACACCACTCTTGCGAAGCTCCTCAACGATGAGAGGGTCAAAGTCTTGCAGGATTGTCCCTGGAAGGTGACGAAACCGTTCTGGGATGGCGCTTCACGCAACTTTGCCGGCATGTGGGCGTCTCGAGGTAGGGACTATTCCGTGCGGACCGAAGTCATGGTTGCCATGGGTTACCACAGCGACCCAGGGCGCACCCACAAGACCATATTCAACACAGTGTTTTACAGATCGGAGTTGAAGGCATTGGCCCAGGCGAGCCGCGGAGCATTGGCAGTATGGCTTGTCTTCAGCAGCCCTGGAATGAAGGGTGGGGAGATGGAGTCTGCGACTGCAGTGGCCTTCGAGCGGGCGCGGCTTCTCTCGCCTCTCGGTGAAGCCTTTAAGCAGGAGGCGATGTGGGAGTACTATGGTTGCAGCGACAAAAAGACAGAACTCCGCTTCTGTGACTACTTTGGGGTTTTCGAACCTGACTCTCACTCGGCCACTGTCAACTTGGGCGTTATGTACTCGAAAGGCTTGGGCGTGCGGCAGGACTACGGCAAAGCCGTGGAGCTCTTCCAGAGTTCTGCTGACCTTGGCAACTCCAAAGCCATGTTCAACTTGGGTCTAATGTACTTTCACGGCGCTGGTGTCCAGAAGAGGATCACCAAAGCAGTGGAGCTTTACGAGGAGGCCGCCGGGCTTGGCAACTGCGAGGCCATGTTCAACTTGGGCTACATGTACTATCGCGGCATTGGCGTCCAGAAGAACCACAGCAAGACGGTCGAGCTGTTACAGAAGGCTGCAGAACTGGAGTACGCAGATGCCATGTTCCACCTGGGAAAGATGTATCACTTTGGCGATGGCGTTGAGCAGAACAACAGCAAAGCGGCACAGCTCTACAGCAAGGCCGCGGACCTTGGTAATGCCGATGCCTTTGTAAACCTTGGAGATATGTATTACGATGGTGCAGGCGTCGAACAGAACTACAGCAAAGCGGCACAGCTCTACGGCAAGGCTGCGGATCTTGGCAATGCCGATGCCATGTTCAACTTTGGAAACATGTATCACTTTGGCGAAGGCGTCGAACATAACGACAGCAAAGCAGCACAGCTCTACAGCAAGGCCGCGGACCTTGGTGACGCTGATGCCTTTGCAAACCTGGCAAAAATGTTTTACGTTGGTGCAGGCGTCGAGCAGAACTACAGCAAAGCGGCACAGCTCTACGGCAAGGCTGCGGATCTTGGCAATGCCGATGCCATGTTCAACCTTGGACGTATGCATTACTTGGGTGAAGGCGTCCAGCAGAACTACACCAAGGCGGCTGAGTGGTTGCAGGAGGCAGCGGACTTTGGAAACGCCGATTCGATGTTCACGCTGGGCAGCATGTGTTATGATGGCCTCGGGTTCCAGGTGAACCACACCAAAGCAGCCGAGTTTTGCCAGAGGGCGGCAGACATTGGCCATGTGCAGGCCATGCTCACTTTGGGAAGGATGTATCACGAAGGTGATGGGGTGCAGGCAGACTATGCCAAATCTGCGGAGCTCTTCCGCAAGGCGGAAGCCCTGCAAAGCCTCGAGTAGTAGCAGGCTTCAGAAAGGGGCTCGCATGAAAAAGAAGATTTCTTCCGCCGCACACAAGCTTTTGCTGCTTTTTGCGCAGTTCCTTCGGAAAGCAGCTTTCTTATTCATACTTCGATGCTGAGGCACGAACCAGAAGGACATCTTTGAAACAAGCGAGCCTTGAGTTCTAGGTCTCTGGAGCTCAGCAGAACTTCCATATTCTGAACTAGGTGCTGAGCTTCTGGTGATTCTCTGGACGGGCCAGGAAAGTGCACTCTTCAGTTCCGAGATTCCGAACCCGAACTATTTCCTGAATTCCTGCATGCTTGTTGTTGCACTTGAAAACGCATGCTTGCACGTGCAGCTTCAAAAGCGTTTTGCTTTTGTATTATGCTCCGGGACGAAGACCTTCTATGATGTTGCCTCAGAGGGGCTGGCTTCCCAGTGATTTCTAATTTCTTCTGAAGATGATTCCTTGGGTTCACTTGGGTTTACGTGCTTAAATGCACAGCATCAATTGAAAACCAGGCGCCCGCGCGTAACACCGACCTCCGAACGGAACCTCAGGCGTAACAGAATACGATTCCCCAAAACTCCCGTTGACCACATTGTGGTCTATTGCGCGAAATTCTACAGCTGAGTCGATGTAAGTACGCAACAAGTTTTTTTACCTTATTGGGCCTCCCAACAAAGTTACCCATGGGCCCCAAAGGAGTTCTTTTTTGGGGTTCATATATAGAATCCTATAAGGTAACCCCAACAAGGTGCGCGAAACTCTACACCTGAATCGATATGAGTATGCAGCACATTCCTGGCCTTGTTGAGGCTCCCAACAAAGTTATACTAGAGAAGAACCCTGAGCCATCAACGCTGGCCGCGGACAGATCCGTCATGCCCAGGGGCAGCGGTACAAACAAGCAGCCATGAGGAAGCCATAAAGAAAAATTAGGGTTTGGGGCTTTAGGGTTTAGGGTTTGGGGGTTCAGGGTTTAGGGTTTAGGGTGTGTGTGAGGGGCCCCGACATCATTGAACTAGAATTTCGAAGCGCTGGGCCAAGGCCAAGGCAGGTTGCACCGTGCTGGTGGGAAAGGAGGCCCTGGGCATCCTTGCAGCCATGAGCCGCTGGTGGGCCGCTGATGTCCTTGAATCGGTTTAGGGTTCAGGGTTTAGAGTTTAGGGTTTAGGGTTCAGGGTTTGGGGTTTGGAACCTGGCTGTCCCCAGTTCCATGTCTGCAGTGTCAACGCTTCAAGAACTTTCGGGGCGTCTTGGATCCCAGCTTGCTTCAAGATGCTTCAAGCTACTAAAATCAGAAATCCCCACGCCCCGGCAGCCCTAAACCCTAGTTTCGGAAACCCCTAGACCCTTAAGCCCTAAACCTTGACCTTAACTGCAAGGCGGAAAAAGGCATTAAACCAAAAAAGAAGCACAAATATACATATATATATATATATATATATATGGTGCCCCCCCCCCCCCATGGATCCACCGTTTGTTGGCTTGATGTACGCGCCGTCGACAACGTCGTTACACAGTTGTTCTTCAAGGGCCCAGGGCAAGGATTTGGGGGTTTAGGGAGCCTAACTGAAAAACTTAACTGACAAAACCTAACTGAAAAAACCTACGTGAAAGAACCTAACTGAAAAAACCTAACTGAAAAACCTAAAAAACCTAAAAAACCTAAATCTCGAGAGTCTTGTCATGGACATCTCTCTGAAGGACTTCCCGAGTTTAGGTGTTTTAGGTTTTTTAGGTTTTTTCAGTTAGGTTTTTTCAGTTAGGTTTTTTCGGTTAGGTTTTTCCGTTCGGCTCCGGGCCTACTGTCTGAAGCTGTTTGAAGCCAAGTGCTCAGTTTACACATTCTGCGTTCTGTATTCTCGATCGGGCCATATGGATGCGGTGTTTGAGCGCGCGTCGTCGCTTCCCGACGAGATGATCGCAGAGATTTGAGACTTTACACGTCGTGTCTGAGTTCAACTTGTTTACAAGATGCTGATGCTCATAATGTTTCCTAAAAAGAGCACATATTCTAAAGTGAAGAACCTCAGAACCAAGCAGTGCCTACATATCCTACAGAAAACGAACTGTTTGTCGGCTACCTACCCGATGGCACTTGTTCGCATCTTTAAAGCTTTGTTGTAATGTTTTTTCCTTATGTCACTTGTTCATGAACCTTGTGCTGAATGTGCCGAACATGTTTACCAGGATCTCGAGTGCTTCGTGTTGATGAGCGGTTTTTCAAAATGATGGCAAGTGGTGGAGAACATCTTAGTCAAGCTGAGCGTTCATTCTTTGGTGTAAAAATATTGGCGAAATCACCAACGGGTTTTCAACAAGGTTCATAAAGGTATAAAAGGCTTCTATAATCTATGGGTATCTATATGAAATTCTTTAAGATGTAAAGAAGGATTATCGTGTAAGGTGTTCTATATGCTCTTGTTTTTGATTTCTTCATTGGGCACATAGCAGGTATAGCGCAGAGCATTCTGCTCCTGATTTTCCTCCCATTCACCCGTTATCTTTAAAGTATTCTACAAGGCATTCTGTGGTGCATTTTACGGGTATGTTATAGAATATTCCATAGGGTTATCTTTAGGACTTCCTATGGGGTACTCAGAGGGTATCATAGACATTGTGTATATTCTGTAAGCTAGTCTAAAGGGGATTGCAGATGATGTTCTACAAGGCCTATAAAAGGCCTAGTATGTAGCGTTGTTTTAGGCTCTCTATCGGGTACTCCATAACGCATTGTATAAGGGGTTGTACAGGGCATCAACATGAACGTAAAGATTATCTTATAGAACGTATTCTTTAACCTAATGTATAGGCTATACGGCTATAGGGTACTCAAGAAGGTATATATGAGGTATATAGGGGGTATTCTATAACGTATTACCTAGGGTCACCTGCACGAAATTCTTTTGAGGTTTGTGGTATTCTTTAGGTTATTCTCTTCGACTCCTGGATCACTCCTAGAAATCCCTTACCCAATAGGCTGCTTCTTTATGAAGGGTTCTCAGATCTTGGGCTCGTTGCAAGGTTATCTATAGGTATTCTTACTTCCCAAATACCTATGGGGTGTATAAAGATTAATTTTTCGCAATAAGATTACCTTATTAGGGGCCAAGAGTTGAAAAGTTTGGTTTTGAGCCACTCAGTGTTTTCTGGGTTCAGGGTATATATACTGTATACAAGGACTGTCATGTATAGGGCCATAGGGGCATTCTGTAAGCTCTTCTATAGAGTATTCCAGACGGTCTTCCATGATGCGTACGATATAGAGGGCACTATGTGTTCCATATGGTATTCTGTAGGGTATTCTATGTCGTATTCTGTAAGGTACTTCAGATATTCAAAAGAAAAACGGGCTGTGACTGAAAGTATATGATAACGTATTCTAGAGGCTCTAGGGTATTCAATAAGGCATGAGGGTATTCTATATAAGTGCATTCCATATGAAAGGTTTCAAGATACATAGAGAAAGTATTCTACAGGACATGCTATAAGATATTCTATATAGTGTCTTGTATAGAGCATAGGGTATGTGTAGTATAATGCGTGCGGTGTTATATGTGTTCAGGGTATATATACTGTATACATGGACTGTCATAAAAAGCGCCATAGGGGCATTCTGTAAGGTCTTCTATAGAGTATTCCAGACGGTCTTCCATGAGGCGTGCGATTTCTAGAGGGTACTATGTGTTCCATAAAGTATTCTGCATGGTATTCTATGTCGTATTCTGTAAGGCACTCTAGATATTCAAAAAATATACGGGCTGTGACTGAAAGTATATGATAAGGTATTCTAGAGGCTCCAGGGTATTCAATAAGGCATGAGGGTATTCTACATATATCAGTGCATTCCATATGAAAGGTTGCAAGATACATAGAGAAAGTATTCTACAGGACATCCTAAAGGATTTTCTATATAGTGTCTTGTGTAAAGTGTCCTATAGGGTATGTGTAATATAATGCGTGCGGCGTGCGGGGTGTATCACATATAGGTGGTCTTGTATACAGTATGCGACAGGATATTCAGATGGGTTTCTACAGTTACAAGATATGAAGGTTATGAGAGTGGAATTTTGCAAACTATTCCGAAATGTAATCTAAAGGGTGCTTTATTGGTGAAATACAAGGTATTGAACCCTGAAAGGTTCGCTAGATTTCGTGTTCACGGACATTATCTATAATCTCGATGCGTCTTATATATGGGAGGTGTAGAAATAGGGCCCTCTTTTCACATCTATACTTGTCGTGATACTATGTTATATGGGATGATATATCTTTGCTCTCCTGTTGCGTGTTACCTTCAGAGCCCATACTACTGCATGCAAAAACTTATACACACACACACAGAACATGCATGCAAGCTTGCGTTCTTTTGCAACGAGAAGAAGCCGTACGCGAATGTATGTCGCTTGGAAAAATTCAGGGTGTATATGAAGGAAATGCAGAATGTAAGATTTGCGAAATCTTTGATGTAGTCGAAGCGTATTTAGTGAAGGACTCGTAAAGAGAAGGGAATACGTTATAGAATATCAACTATTTCGCATCCGGCTCTCAAACACACGAAAAAGGTGGATCCTTGAGGGGGGGGGTAGCATATATATATATATATGTATACACACACATATATATATATATATACATATACATATACATATACACATATATAGACATACATATATATATATATATATGTGGCAGGAACCTTTATGTATAATGTGACTTCCTCCTTGGTTTTGCATTAGGTTTACTACAGACTGCATCTTACAACATCGTGTGGTATAGGCTGACAAGAAAAATCGCCTACCTCATCTTCGACAAAACGTGACCAAAAGCTTCCTCCAAGTTTATGAGAAAGAAGAGAGCTGCATTACGAGACCAAGAGCTTCCTCCAAGTTTATGAAAAAGAAGAGATCTACATCTCAAGAGAACAGAGGCCCTGTAAAAACATCGAGAAAGAAGAGAGCTCCGTTTATCCTTCAGTCGGCAAGAAAACGAAAAGTCAGGATCTTGA